CCCCCCCTTTATTTTCCAAATGCTAAACTGATGTCTGGAGAGGTTAAGGGACTTGTCCCAAGTCTCCCAATGAGGAGGCCTCAGTGCCTCAATACCAAATCTAGTCCTTTCCCAGTAAAAATCCTCCTCCTCCAGTCCTGCCAAGAGAGCTCTCCTGGCCTGGCCAGGTGTGGCTCAGCCGTTGAGCATCGACCTAGGATCCAGGAGATCGGGGTTCGATTCCCAGTCGGGCACATGCCCGGGTTGCGGGCTAGGCAGCTGATCAATGACTCCCTCATCATTGATGTTTCTATCTCTCTCTCACCCCCTTCCTTTCCTCTCTCTGAAATCAATAAAGATATGTTTAAAAAAAAAAAAAAAAGAGCTCTCCTGAAAACCTCTGAGGCACAGTCACGTCCACCCTGCCCACTCTGAGCCAACTAGATGGCCTTGCCCTAGTTTTCGTCTCATCCCTCCCAGCCAACACCTCAATTTCTGGACTAGTATGCTCTGGCCAGCCCCAGGTCTTTTTGTAGCTTGAGCACATAGTAGTCACTCACTCAATATTTGTTGATGGATTTATTAAAAACAGCTTCATACAGACCCATATCCCTAAGAACTCACCAATTTTGTCTCATTTTATGGTTGGGAGCACATCCACCCATGCTTGAATACTTGTGAAATTTAGATTAAAATACAAAAGAAAATGTATTCAGTCCACAACTGTTTTTTAGTATCTACTATGGTCCAGGTACAAAGTTAATACCCATACAGCAAAAGTTTTGTCAGTGCTTCTAATTAATGACAAGTCTAATTTGTAGGGTGAGATAAGGCCTGAAAGTGCTGGAACAAAACAGGAAGTCAGCAAATGTGCATTTCCTTCAATCTTCTTCTTTTTTTAAAAAAATATGTCTTTATTGATTTCAGGGAGAGGAAGGGAGAGGGAGAGAGATAGAAACATCAAAGATGAGAGAGTCATTGATCGGCTGCCTCCTGCACGCCCCCTACTGGGGATGAAGCCCGCAACCCGGGCATGTGCCCTGATGGGAAATCGAACCGTGATCTCCTGGATCCTAGGTCGATGCTCAACCACTGAGTCACATCAGCTGGGCTCCCCAATTATTCTTTTTTCTTTTTTAAAAAAAAATCTTTATTGATTTCAGAGAGAGGAAGGGAGAGGGAGCGGGAGAGATAGAAAAATCAATGATGCGAGAGTCACTGATCAGCTGAAGCCCACAACCCGGGCATGTGCCCTGACTGGGAATCAAACCCTGATCTCCTGGATCCTAGGTCGATGCTCAACCACTGAGCCATGCCNCAACCCGGGCATGTGCCCTGACTGGGAATCAAACCCTGATCTCCTGGATCCTAGGTCGATGCTCAACCGCTGAGCCACACTCAGGTGGGCTCCCCCATTATTCTTGTGCTGCAGAGTAATTAGGCATATTTGGACAGAAGTTCCTGTAAATGACCATAATTAGTATTTACTTATGTAGCCAAACCAAGCCATTCTGTAGACCAGTAGAGGCACACTGCTTAGAGAAAGGAACTGCCTCGAGCCTGAGCATCA